CTTTTGGACATGCGGCACCTTTGGACCCACTCCCATAGGGTGACGGACGACAGGTCAAAGCACCATAGGCCTTCGCCTCCTGAGTGTCGCATGGTCGTCGCCGTGGTTCTTATCCACGGTGCATGTTTCCCTTAGCTGTGAGCGGAGGGCAGCTCACTGCCCAGCCAAAGAGCATTCCAGGGACTCGGGTCATTAGGGAGTCCCTGGAAGGAGGCCGAGCCAGCCAGAGGGACACCCAAGCTTGCCCTCCCCACTGCATTGCTATCCACCCAGCGGAGAGGGGACACCCAGTTCAGCCAAACACGGGAATAGGGTCTCTCAGTTCTTCGCTGGAAGCCAGCTTTACCACGGGGTCTCCATTCCTTTGGAAACAATCAGTGGGAACAGCTGGGTCTTTATACTCTTAAGCAGAATGCAGAACCCCTCTCCATACCCAAAGGCATCTTTGAAATACTTGTAAAATCTCTCAGATAAATGGCTTTCCTGTGCCGTCTCTGCGCCGGTACTTCACAAGCTTGGCTCCCCAGAGCGAGCACAATGGTTCATTCTGGCGTCGTAGGGCATGATGTTTTTGCTTACACATAATCTAATAATGTTGACACTGGAGGTTGCCGTGTGGATGGCGGCGGCCCTGGGGGGGAAGCGACCTATCCCTTATTTGCATACATCTGGACAAGCACACTTGATTTCAAAGGAGGGCGTTTGTATCGTTGTATTTCCGTTGTAGTTTATGAGGCAGCGAGGGCTTTCATGCTTTAGGGTATGTTTCTATAAAAATATATATCCAGGGAAATGGTAGCGACGTGTGATAAACACATATTTCTTGATGGTTTCTGGCTGCCGGGCAAATAGGAGGCCATGGTTCATTGTGGAGAACTCATGGGGGTGGATGGGGAGCTAGTGGGCGCCTCTGCCCTGGCCCTTCCTGCCCCGGGCAGTGCCCAGGCTCTGTGAGGAGAGGCACCCTGACTTTTAGGTCTGGGGCGTTGGGGTGCTGCTGTACCCGGAAGGCATGCTCCCCTGTGCTGTCACAATGGGAGCGGCAAATAGTATTAAAATGATGGCATAGCAGCTCCCATTCCAGAAGGTTTCCATTTATGAATCTGGAGAAGAGTCCTGATCAAAATGGGGGGAAACAACAGCAGCATCATTGCAAATTAAACATGGCTGGATTTGTTATCTGCCCGGGAGAAGGGGGATCGGGGGAGGACATGGCCAAGAATGACTTCCCCGTGGATTGCGAGGGCCGCGGTGAATCTGTTTTCCTTCAGACCTAATACAGGGTGTTTGTTCCCTCAGGCATTCTTTTAGTTCAATCTTCATTTCTGAAGTGATTTCTCCGCCCCGCCCCCCTTATCTTTCTAATTCTTTCCTGAACTCTGCTGCCACGTCGTCTCTGCATTCTCCTCATTCTAATTTATGTCATTGTTGTTTTAATCGCTCGTGTCATTTCTTCTGTTGGTCTTGCCTGGTGTTTAAAAGTGGGGTGGTCTTGCTTTCTGAAATGTTTCTGCCCCCGTCCACTACCCGGCTTTGATCTGCACCTCGTCTTCTCTTGGCCTTTGTGGGTGTGCTCCGTGTGTTTTCCTGGCTGTGGTTCTCCGGCTGTGGAGCAGCCTCCTCGTGGGTGATTCCATTGGGGAAGTCAGTCCTTGCTACCAGGGGCCTCTTGAACTTACCTCATCTGGGAGAACAACAAATGATCCTCATTTCAGCCAGCTTGCTTTCCAGTGAAAATCCACTGGGGTTTGGGGGGGTCCCTTTGTCTGTGGTCTGTCAGATGCCGCCCCGGCTGCTTTTGTGCTTTGTCTTCTGCAGACTCCAGTGTCGCGTGGACACTGAGGGTTTGGCCCTGCGTCTCCACCCATTTGTGGTTTGGGATGCATGGAAATCCTGCCTCACCTGGCTCTGTTGTAAACCAAGTGTTCCGTGGACTTCTGCTTTTGCTTCTTGGCTGCTTTGTGCAGGTGTTCAGAGAAGTTCAAACGGCCATGTGGCCACTACCTCCATATGTATAGAGCTTGCATCTCAAAATGCGTTTCAAAACCTGCCTTAGTTTATGCTTAATATTTTCACCGACATAGAATCCACACATCACGTCTTTCAGCAGTCCAATCACACGCGTTAAGAGTTGTGCAGCCGCCACCACTGTCACATTCAGGATATTCCTTCTTTCTTCCTTGTACTCCTGGTTGTTCGCTTCCCATATTCGTGCCCACTTCCCCTGCCAGTCCCTTTGAAACTATTGATCCAGCTGTTGTCTCTATGGGTGGATGGATCTCGGGCTTCATGTAGAGAAACACAGACAAAATCAAGAAAAATAATTGAAAACACAAGCAAACAGCCCAACAATGACATAATGAATCAGAGAAAAACCTCAATCGAAAACAAAGCAGACAGTATTAAAAACAGCCTTGGATCAAGAGGGAGATCAAATGGCAAGGCATCACCTTCTGACATAACTGTAATTGCAGCGACCCATCCTACCGCGTGCTCTGTCTGATAACAAGGCCTTTCCCGTCTCTGATCCATAGTCAGAGGGATTTGCCTGAAGCTGCATCCACCTGGGGGACCCTGCAAATAGGTTTTGGGCTTTCACTGCCACCCATAGCCTTCTGGAAACTGGATGTTCTGACTTAAAATTCTAATACCGTTCCCTCCTCTGGATTTGGGTTTTATTACTTACAGTCCTTGGGTCATATAGGCTGATGTGCTTCTTCATGTAGACTTAGCTGACACCTCACTTCAGTGGCTCCTTTTAAAAAAAAACACATTTTATTGGGGGCTTTACAGCTCTTATCACAGTCCATACGTACGTCAGTTGTGTCAAGCACATTTGTACATACGCTGGCATCGTCATTTTAAAAACATTTTCTTTCTACTTGTGGCTCCTTGTTTTAAGATGAGACTTTGAGGCCCTAACTGCTATCCTTTCTGATCGCCAGGCACCATCTACTTTCTTCACCACCCTTTGCTGTAGCACTGTATCTCCAGTGATCACTCCATGGGGGCAGGTTTTGAACAGACCCATGGCATAAGAATTCACTGTTCTTGGTTTAGGGCTAGGATTACGTGCGAGTTAAAAATCCGTTCCTATTGCTACCAGCATGTGTTTTTGGAAAACGTTATCTATTTCATCCTGTAGTCCTCTATTTTTTATCATGAGTGGGGTCCTGAATCACCCTGCTGCAGGGCACTCTCATTCTTCCATTCACCCAAGAGTGCAGTCTTTCCAGCCCAGGAGCCACACCCAGTTGAGGGATCCGCTCTTATGAATAGCTGAGCCTTCATCCAATCCATGAAGGCTGTACTTCCAGTTTTTCAGGTGCTAAATGGGGGGATAAGAATAGAGACAGCCTCAGAAGTTTCTCGTGGAAATCGAGGTCGTATAAGCAAGGCTACTGCTGCCACAGAATAATTGGCGGGGAAGTTTGGGTATTACTGTTAGGTTTGCATGTCTGGGTTTTAATCCAGTCCACGCAGATGATCAAGTCTTACTCTCATAGGCAGTCTTATTTCGTTCAGTTGTCAAGTTCTTGGAATACTTTAGCTCTCAAGAATGAATGTCTTACTGTATCTTCCTTATGTTTAAAAAAAATCTCGTTAAAGTAAATTTACATATAGTTGAATTTTACCCTGTCTATGCCCTCCCTCCCCCCACCCCCGGTTGCATAGTGAGTTCTGAGTTGGGCTACTAAACACAAACAGTTCAAAACCACCCGCCGCTCCATGGGAGAAAGACGAGGCTCTCTACTCCCGTAAGCACCACTCACAGGCTCGGGAACCCACAGGGCAGCTGGACCCTGTCCTGTAGGGCCCTGAAGAGTCAGCGTGGACTCGGGGGCTGTAAGTTTGAGTCGTGATGCTGTGAATGAGGAGCCTGTGATGCAGCGGTTAAGTGCTTGCCTGCTCACCGTGGAGCTGGGTGGCTGGAACCCACCGGCCTCTGTGCTGGTGGTGGGTTCTCGTGAGGATGACAGCCCAGCTGTGGGGACTCTATAGGGCAGTTCTACGCTGTCTTTCCTGGAGGGCAGCTAGAATCAGAATTCACTCAATGGCCATGGGATGCTGTGAATATTCTTTCTCACCTATTATAAGTAATCTATTTTCACAAGGTAAGACTTGCAAGTACAGTGACTGCATAGAGCAGTGGTTCTCAACCTGTGGGTCGCAACCCCTTTGGGGATCAAACGACCCTTTCACAGAGGTCGCCTAAGACCATCAGAAAACACACATTTCCGATGGTCTTAGGAACCAAGGCGTTGGCTTTTTACGCATACTGTCGTAAAATGCAGCAATGTAGTTTACTGTTGTTATATTAAGACTGTTGCCCATGCTACACCATGCTTCAAGACCAAATTTCATTTTATTGTCATTAGAAATAAATATTTCACAATATACAATTACATACTGTTTTTGTGTTGACTCTCTATGCTTTAATGATGTTCATTTTATAACAATGAAAATGCATCCTGCCTATCAGCTATTTACATGACAATTCATAACAGTAGCAAAACAGCTGTGATGAAGTAGCAACGAAAATAATGTTATGGTTGGGGGTCACCGCCACATGCGGAACTGTACGAAAGGGTCGCGGCGTGAGGAAGGTGGAGGACCCCTGACATCTAGCGAGGGAGGGACGATTTAACTGAACTGATGATGACATGGGGACTCTGCAAGGGAGGCACGTTGTTCTCGCCCGTGCGACTGAACCCTCTTTTGCAGCACCCTGCCGAGTCTGGATGCTCCCTACCCCATGCTGATCCTGGCCGGGCCTCAAGCCTGTGGGAAGCGAGAGCTGGCCCACCGGCTCTGCAGACAGTTCAGCACTTACTTCAGATACGGGTAAGCCATCCGTCGGCGGCTGAGGCTGGGCACGCTCCGGTGTTGCTGGCCAGGGCCACTCGTTTCCAGCATGTGCAAAACACCCTACCAGCTACGCTGCCCTTTCCAGCAGAACTCGAGGAGGGAAGGACGTGGACTGGCCAGTGGCCCTAAGCCTTGGTAAGGACAGGGTGCCACGGGCGTTTCAGCTCCTTGAAGGTCAGGCCTTGGGAGTGATTTGGTGTCTTGATCCTTGTGCCTTTGGAAGCGAGGTGGGAACAGGGGTTGCTAAAGTGCACCCCTCATACTAGGAGAAGGTGACAAGGAGCAAGGAGAAACACATCTTTTTGTTTTCTGGGAACCAGACTGTGGATGCCCCACTGTAACCCCTAGCCACCCCTGACCCATCCATCAGAACCCCCCCGCCCCCTGTCCACAACAGACCCAGCTGCCCTTTGCCGCTGATGACCCTGCATCCTCTGACTTTGCCCTCCACGTGTGGAGCTTCGCCCAGTGCCAGCCAAGTCCAAACCCAGGGTTTGGAAAGGCTCTGTTTCCTAACTCAGCATTATGGTTGGCCACGCGATGGCCTGCCTTGACACGGGAGCATGGCTCCACAGGCCATCCTCCTTATGGAGGGTACCAAGGTGCACGATGAGTGATGTGGAGGCCGGCAGTTCAAGCCCACCATGTAGCTGCGTGGGGGCTGGACCTTCGGATCTCCTTCTGTAGGGATGCCAGCCGAGAGAACCCTAGAAGGTGGCTTGGACTCTGTCCTAGGGGTCCCCGTGAGTCAGAATCAGCTCCGAGATGTCCGACAACCAGCAACGATAACAGCGACGGCAATAAGCAGGCCGCCAAGCCTTTAATCTGTAGCACTGCTGGGCGACTTCAAACCCCCAACCTTCAGCTGAGCACACGCTGATCCACCCAGGGGCCCCGGCCTCAAGATCCAGAATTACCCAAAACACCCTCCAGCCGACTTCCACAGCTCTTGCCAGGTTCTGGGAATGGTGGCTCTGGGATTGTCCTGGGCGGGGGCGGAAGGGGGAGAATTGTGGGGAGGGGGCGGTTCACTCAATGGTTCCTTCTTTTATTCTTTATATAGCACCAAGACATTGCTTTTAAATCAGTGGTGTACATTGGCGAGCTGGGGAATGTGACTGCAAAGATATATGGTATTGCAAGAAAATGAAATGCAAATTCTTTCCTACAGCAGTAACCAAAAAAAAAAAAAGGCCCCTTCCCTGAAGCTATACATGTTCCAACCATGTAAATACTATTTTAAGCAGGCTCGTTTATTCAGAGATCTAAAATTACATTCCTCGTTTGGACAACTCCGGGAAGATAATGCTATATAATTATTTATTGATTAAAATATTTTAAAGTCCCTGGAGCAATATAAATCACTTCAAACTTGATGTTGGAAGAAAAATAATAAAGGGTCATTATGCTCCTGTGAAGGCACCGGGTATGCTTCAGAAGATAAATTTGGCGCAATGAATTGAAGGTCAAGCTAGGACAAAAGACCGAAGGGGCGCCAGAAATATCCTATTGTGCTAAGGAGTAAATCTGGAAGCACCCTGCCAACCCAAGTGACCGAGCTACCAAGGCCTCCTCTGGTTAGAATCCCCCTCTCATCTCTGCAGGCCAGCTGTGTTGGGATGGTTGGTAGCCCAGGCCTTCTTAAGTTATACGCTGCTACCGAGGCACCCTAGGAGCCCCGGGGCACAGTGGTTCCATGGAGTGCTGCTATTGGCACAGTCAGCAGTTTGAAACCCCCTCCTGATTCAGACGGGGCTTTCTACTCCTGTAAAGAGTTACCAGCTCAGAAACTCGCATGCGCACTTCTCCCCGGTCCTGTTGAGTCGCTGTGAGTCAGCATCAGCTCAATGGCAGTGAGTTTGGAGGGTGGGGTTGTTTTGTTTTGTTTTGTTTTGATTGAGGCAAGCTTGGCCATAGGAGTTCTTGGAGGTATTCATTGATTCATCATTATGAATCTTCACCAATTTGCCTCCTCCACCTTCTTATCTGGATCCGTCACACGGCACACGGCCTGCCAGTTGGCTTTGCACTGATGTCGACTCATAGCCAATCCCAGGAGTGACTGAGCAGACCTGGGCCCCATGGGGTTTTTAATGGCCGGTTGTCCTTAAGTAGATCACCAGCCCTCCGTCCAAGGTATCTCTGATGGGCTCAGACTTCTGACTTGCCAGGTAGAGCCAACTAGGAATGTGGTGTGTGGTTATCACAGGAAGGAAGCGAAATAGTCCTCCTGGCGTTTGATGTTCACTCACAGGTAGGTGCTGGAATCTCAGTTTTCCCAACCCCTTCAATATTGCCCAGGAATTGGGGGACAGATGTTTGCACTGGACATTAGGACCAGTTTCACGTACCTGCCACGTGCCCCAGGAGTACCCGCGGCAGCTTCTATGGGTCTACAGTGAAGGAGATCATTCAGGACGTCAGCTGCCTGCGGGAAGGGGCTCGACTTTAAAGGAGCCCCAGCCAAGCCTCTGCTTCAGTATTTGTGGTAACAAGAGGTTCATCCTTTCCACATACCAGCTGGTCCCGAATGGAGCTGCTAAGCCAGCCGCATGCTCTGAGCCACATGAAGACATCCTTCTTCCGCATCCATCTGCCAGTCCTTCCTAGACATCTGTCCTTCATGTCCCATTAGACTGGGGATGGTGGTGGGGTAGTGGTGTTTGGAACCAGCCCATGGCCTGGCCCAGCTTTCCGGGGCCTTTCGAAGGTCTAGTCCCCAACCCCTGGTGGACTTTGATGACCAGCGTGACCATTCCAGCTCAGTCCCATTCAGTTCTTTGGTCTGTCCAGTGAAACAAGGGGGAGTGGGTGTCCCATGGAAAAGCAGGATTTAATTCCCTCACCTTCCTTTCACGGACGGGTCAGTAACAAATGGGCGGAAATGCAGATTAAGATCCTTGGGAGGCATGGTGTGGGGTGGGGGAGGGAGAAAAGGATATAGAAAGCAACAGCCCAAACTCTGTCCTTCTTCTCCAAATTGGCTGCACCTTTTTCTCGGAACCATTGGTGAAGTGTTGCTCTCCCTGTCCAGCATCTCCTTTGTCCCTTGTTGCCATTGGTCAGCGTCCCACGCAGTGATGGGCTCAACGCGGGGAAATGAGATGACAGCTTCCCATCCCCTGGGGTCACCTCTGGTCCATCCTCCTCCTCAGGCAGCCTCCCAGTGGACGCTAACTCTGCCATCAGGAGCCACACAGTCTCTGCACTTACCTGCCTCACAGCCTCTTTGCCTTCTTTGCCTCGCCTCCCTTTGAGCAATTCTGGAAAAGCCCCTGCCAGTCAATCACTCTGAGAAATGTACTCGCCATGCAGTGGAAAGGCCGTGTGAAGGAATGCCAGCCCAGGGCGCCCAGCCATGATTGATGACCCCTGACTGTCTGGGCACATGGTGGAGGAGGAGGGAGGAGAGCCTGCCAGCAAGGAAGAGAGCGTGGGGACAATGCCGTCCATCAGAGCGAACAGGGACACACTTGGGTGGAAAATGCAAGGGAACTATAGAAAGTTAGTGGGAAAGTTGCAACATCTTTGAATTCCATTTGTCCACAAACTCTTTGAAGCCCCCCCCCTCATGTCTGAGCCATAACCATCATCATAATTTGAAAAGTAATGTGATCTCAGGACACAAGAGCTAGTTCCACGCTACATGGCTGTCCAATGGGTCAAGATGAGTTGTTGGTGGACCACCCTGGACATGATCCCTGCACAGCAGGGCCACTGCGTGTGTATAAAGAGCAAATTTTGTTCCCCGAAACCTTTTCCGTTTCCAATTTCCAGCTAAACAGAGAGACTCAGCCCTGTGTTTTGTTCCCAGGGCCTGCCACACAACAAGACCTCCGTACTTCGGTGAAGGGGATCGAGTTGACTATCATTTTGTGTCCCAGGAAGTCTTTGATGAGATGCTAAATATGGTAAGAACCGCCCCCTTAGTGCTCAGCAGGTAAGAAATCCAGTCTTGGGCAGGCCCTGGGGGAACTCCTCCAGATGATGGAAGCGAGAAGCTGGAGGAAGTAATGCGAGTGTGCTTTTGAGAGGCGCCTTCTTGCTGGCTTGGGCTTAAGCCACGTCAGGCCTCGCTGTTCCCATGCCTCTGGATGTGGGGTCCTGGAGACAATGTCCCATCAGACTGGGTGAGGGGTCGCTTTGAGGCAGGACAACGAAAAGTGGGCTGAACAGTTCTTTGTGGTCTCTGTTGATTGGCTGGCTGCTGTTTACTCACGCAACTTTCAGCCCTAAAAACTCGCCGCCATCAAGTGGACGCTGACTCACAGCGCCCCTATAGGACAGGGTGGAACTGCCCCTGTGAGTTTCTGAGACTGGAACTCTGCGGGAATAGAAAGCCTCGTCTTTCTCCGGCAGAGCTGGCTGGTAGTTTCGAACTGCTGACCCTGCCCTTCCCTACCAGCCCCACGTGGACCAGACGCCACCAGGCCTCTGTCCATGAAAGCTGCTGCAAGCCAGAAGGTGCTTGGATTTAAACGAGCTCAAATCCCTGGCTAGTCAGGACAAGTGGTCCTCCTCCCAGACTGACTCCCAGCTCACAGCTGTGAGTTTTTGAGACGGTCGCTCTTTGTGGGAATACAAAGCCTCGTCTTTTCCTAAGGAGCTGGCTGGTGGTTTTGAACTGCTGGAGAGGAGCAGGCCGAGCGGCGCAGGGCGGGGTCCTCCTTGCTGTCTATGCAAGGAGCCTTGCCCAGAGCCTTGTCCACACACGTGAGCTTGAAGGACCAACTCGAAGTGTATGTACAGTGTGTGTATGTGGTGTGCACACGTTTCCAGGGCGAGCAAGAGATCTGGAGCTCCCGCAACAGCTGTCCTTAACCGTGTCACCGAGAACGTCCTGGGAATGGCCCTTCATGTCCCCTCCTAGGGCTCTCTCTTGGCCCTAGCTTAATGTCTTAAGCGTACTCTGGGGCCTTGTCTTTCAGAATACAGCTCTGATAGAGGTTGAGGTGTTATCTCCATGCTCATAAGGAGCCCTGGTAGTGTACTGGTTACGAGCTGGGCAGCTAACTGCCAAGATCCGCGGTTCGAAACCACCAGCCAGCTCCTTAGGAGAAAGACGAGGCTTTGTATTCCCACAAAGAGCTACAGTCTTGCAAGCTCGCGGGGGCAGTTCTACCCTGCCCTACGACTCGTTATGACTCAGATGAGTCACAAGACACGATGGCAGTGAGTTTGTTTGTGTGTTCTCAGGGTTGGCAAGAAGCAATCTCTTAGGGCTCCTCAGCTTGAAGGACAACTGCTCCCCAAGCTCAAGGCCGCGTCTCTGGTTAGAGCCTGAGGTCGTTATCCTCGCTTCAGTTCATCTGTGCGTCGGGCTTCGGCTCCCCTCACCTTAGCTAGCGCATCTGTAACCAAATCAATCAGACCTCTTCCTGGACCAGGAAATGACGGTGCTTCCGTTGTAGCTTTAGGATAGTTTCACGCCTCTACAAACCGCCTGGTGCTTTGAGGAGTACTTAATTCTAGGGTTCCCGCTCGCATGCTGTACTGCAATAGCATGCCATTTTCCTCAGCTGAGCTCTGCCGGATCGCCCTTCCCTCACAGGGAGCTCAAGGCTGTTTGATGAGGAGACAAATTGGAGATTGCTAACTCACGGGACACGGTTTCACCATCACACCCACACACCCACCCAGAGAGCACCCCTGGACATACATCCCACATACCCCTCCAACACCGACTGTGGACAGCCCCATGCCACCCAAGCTGACAGACACACAGACCTGCATGCCTCCTACCAAATGACCCGCCCCCACCCCCCACTGCCACACACACACACACACACACACACACACACACACACACACACACGTGCCTGACTCGGTGTTCAGCTCCCCCAGTTTAGATCAGAGCTAGTGGTTCTGCCACAGTGTGGTCCAAGACACACTCCTGAGTCCCAGGGATCACCTTTTTCTTGCATTTGGGGACTGTTCTCTACTTCCAGAACACAGCTCCATGTTAGGGTTGCAGCCACACTTCTGTGGAGTCACACGTAGGGCAGTGTTGCAGTTTCAATAAACACCAGTCTCTCTGAGGAAGCACACGATGGTCTGTCATTTAGGACTCATCCCAGGATGCAAAGCTTTTGGGGGTATCCGTGTCATTCACGGCCTGCAGCAATGACCTGGTACGTAATGACTTATCTGGGAATGCCAATCTTTGGGATATCAATGCCTCTCCTGGGCTGTGTGGTTTGTCTGGCACAGCCGGGATGGCCAAGGCCAAGGGCAAGCTGCTCGCTTTGCTTCTCTAACTATGAAGACACGTGGCTTAGGCTTTGGGTTAGCAGCACGTTAATAAGCCAAGAAGTCTGTTCCACCATCATCCCATAAAGCTCAGCAGCTTCACTCTCCACCCCACCCCACTCCCATCCTTTTTGGCACCGAAGATGCCTGAATGCATTTCCCCATCACCTTTGGATGTCCCAGCCTATAACCCTGTTGGCATTCTCAGGCCCTTGCTATTAGTTATGGGAGAAAGATGAGGCTTTCTACTCCCGTAAAGATTGACAGCTTCAGAACCTCTCAGGGACAGTTGTAGCCTGTCCTTGTAGGTCATTGTGAGCCGGAATCTACTCAGTGGCAGTGAGTGGTGAATGAGTGAGTGAGTGAGTGAGTGCTGATACCTGTCACATTTCTGGACTCGTGGAAAAAGCCTGACACTGAGTGATTTGACTGCTAAGACTGCGACCAGGGCAGCCATAATACGGAAATCTCTGTCTGTTCCCAACTGCAGGGGAAGTTCATTCTGACGTTCAACTACTGCAATCACAATTACGGGCTGAACCGGGACACCGTGGAAGGCATCGCCAGAGACGGTTTGGCGAGCTGTATTCACATGGAGATAGAGGTCAGCGTCGTCCCTTCCGTCAGTGTGTTTCTGGGAGGTGGGACCTTGTGCTCGCAGAGACTAAGAGTGCAGGACCTCGGCTGCAGGCGGGAGGTTGGGCCAGGCTTATGAGGAAGGGCACAAAGGGTGGGGGTGGGCACAAAGCAGCCTCAGGGGCACAATGGGTAAAGCACTGGGCTTGCACAGTGCCAGGTTGGCGGTTCAAACCCACCAGTGCCTCTGTGGGAGAAAGCTGAGGCAGTCCGCTCCTTTCAGTCTCAGAAGTGTGGAGCAGCATGCGGGAAAGGTACAAACCCAAGCCACGCCCACTGTGGTCCAACTGGACTCCCAGCCATGCTGTAGGACAGGGAAGGACTGGCCCCTGTGGGTTTATGAGACTGTTTACAAGAGTGGGAAGCCTCGCCTTTCTCCCAAGGAGCGGGCAGGGGGGTTCGAACTGCTGACCTCGTGGGTACAACCCAGTGTGACACCCACTGTGCCACCAGGGCTCCTATGGGGAAGGTGAGCCTACCTGACAAAGCAAACCGAGTGCCAGCCAGTCAGTTCCAAGTCCCGGCCCCCTGCAAGGGGAAGGCATGACGCATGGACATTAAGCAACAGGAGCTAGATGGCAGTGCCAGAAATCCCACCTGGCCTGCCAGGGGGCTTCAAAAAGTTCTGGGAAAAATGAGATCCAAGGAAGTTGGAGCTTCCCCACCAACTTTAGCAAGTCCCCTGGTCCGAGTCCCACTGCCCCCAACCATCTTCTGGTTTTTGCTTTGTTTTCCCTTCACTGAACCCTCTTTGTCATCTTACACCCAGCACTTTGCTGGTAGGGGTCTGTAGGGGGGTCTCAGCTAAAAGTGGGAGGCTTGAGCCTACCAGGGGCACGGCGGAAGCAAGGCCAGGTGATCCGCTTCTGTGAAAATGACGCCCAAGAAAACCCGGTGTGTGGCGCAGTTCTGACTCACACGTGAGGGTCCCTGTGAGGCAGATTCGACTTGGCGGCAACGGGTGTCTCAGGTTTGATGCGGTGAAGTTGCAGCCTGAGCTGTGTGTGCGGCGGGGGCCTGGCTGCCCTAGACAAGGACAAGACTGTGTGGGGTATTTTTGAGGGGCGGGGGGCAGAAAGACAAGAAAGAATGGGAGGATTTTGAAGTTAGGAAATACAAAGGGCAGAAGGTTTGGGGGAAGGAGGAGGTGCTTTGGGGACAGTCGTGGGCCAGGGGGAGACGCTTCGCCTTCCAGCAGAAAGACCCAGTTCGATTCCTGGCTGATGTATCGCATGCCTGGCCACCACCCATCTGCAGTGGAGACTTGGTGCTATTGTGATGCCAAACAGGTTTCCGTGGAGTATCCAGCCTCTGACAAAGGCAGGCTACCTTCCCAAAAGCAGCCAGCAAGAACTTGGGGGCTTACCACAGCCCAGTCTACCACCGACCGTGAGATGGCCCAGGCCCAGGCAGCCTTCTGTCCTGTTGGGTGTCAGGTCATCCTGAGCCAGGGGCCGGTCCCCCAGCAATGACCAAGAGCCATCACAGAAAACATGCCGTACGCACAGCCAAGGAGGGATGACAGCTCCTGTCATTGACTTGTCCCTGGTGAAGGGCATCTGCTGGGTAAAGTAGAAGGTCAGCCAAAGGAAGCCCCTCGATGAGATGGACTGACTTAGTGCCCGCACCAACAGGCTCAAGCATAACCATTGGGAGGCTGGCACGGGACTGGGCAGTGTTTCATTCTGTTTTACAGAAGGTCACTGAGTTAGAACCGAGGATGCAAAAATACCTACCCACCACCACCACACCCTGGAGCCCCTGGGTGTTGTCAATGGTTAAGGTGCCCATCTGCCGGCCCAAAGGTTGGAGGCTCTACCCAGAGGCACCTCGGAAGAAAGGTCAGGCAGTCCTCGTCGGAAAAAACCAGCCATGGAAAACCGTGGAGTACAGCTCTACCAGGAGACACGTGGGGGTGGGCTGGGGGTGGGGTCCCGAGCTGGAATCAGCTTGATGGCAGCTGGTGCTTGAACCTGAATACTGCTTCACGCTGTGTCCTCCCCGCGTTTATCAGCCTGGCCTCCCCCCGTTGCAGACAGAGGCTTGAGATGTGATGTTGGCCAAGTCCAGCCAGCTGCTGGGCCAGGAACCAGGAAGCCCCCTGCCCCCCAGCGTCCCGCGAAGTGGATGACAGAGGGGTGACAGAGGAGCCCCTTCTCCCCCGGGAAGCACTCTATCTTCTGGTAGGACAGGGATGCCCTTTGAAACATCCAACTTAAAGGACTTCTCAGTCCTAAAGAGGCGGCACTGCTGTACTTAAAGCTATTGTGTCTCTTTTGTTGTTGTTTTATTAAGCAGTCATAAACCTTAGAATGATTCGTGAGAGGATACCCAGGTGGGTTGAATTTGAATCATTCCCCTAACAGTTTTTGATACGCAAGGTCGTGTAATTCAACCCCAAGACCCTTATAGGTGCAAAGTAGCCAGTTCAACAGATCGAATCATACTTCACCACCACACTTGGGGGGTCCCAGGGCTGCAGAATGCAGCCTCTCTGACTTCCTCTCTTCCCCCTACATCCCAAGGGCGTACGAAGTTTGAAATGCACCTATTTTGAGCCTCGCTACATCCTGGTGGTGCCCATGAACAAGACCAAGTACGAGGGCCACCTCCGGAGAAAAGGCCTCTTCAGCCGAGCAGAGATCGAGCTTGCCGTCTCCCGGGTGGACCTGTACATTAAAGTCAACCAGACATTCCCAGGATATTTCGACGCAATCATCAATGCAGGTGCGTAACAGGGAGCAGAGCGTTGGCGGGTGGGGTCCCTGTGGGTAGGAAGAAAAGGCTTAGGGGAAGGATGGTCCCACAAAGAGGCTGGAGAATCCCGGAGCCCTTGGGCTCAAAGGGAGTGGCTTCCTGGCAGCCTTCCAGGGTCTCCATCAGTCTGGCCTCTGCCCTTCCTAACTCGTGAGGTGGCGCTGTTTGTGCCGCCGGAGTGCCCAGACAGCCGAGGTGTTTGTCAGTCACACTGCCTGGAGTGGCTACCTTCCTCCAGGGGCCTTACTTTGTCGGGCTGTGGGCTCACAGAGAGCCTATGTGTCGGAAGAGACCTGCCACCGCAGGTGTTTCTAGATGCCATCTTTAGGGACGGAGCCAGCCCTGGTGGCACCATGGTTAAGCTCTCAGCTGCTAACTGGCAGGTCGTGGTTCAAACCCACCAACTGCTCAGTGGGAGAAAGACGTAGCAGTCTGCTTATGTAAAGATAGCAGTTTTGGAAACCCCTCGGGCAGTCCCTACTCCGTCCTGTTGAATCCACATGAGTCAGAAATTACTTGACAGTAATGGGTTAATCATTATGGGAACAAGGCAGCTGCCAGGGCTCTCTCCCTCGCATCTGCTGGGTGGGGTTCAAACCACCAACCTATTGGCTGGCAGCCGAGCACTTAATAACTGTTCCACCAGGGCTCCTGAAGGGGCATTTGGACAAGAACATTAGACAATACATAAACCAAAACCAAGCTGTCTGCCACAGAGGCGATTCTAGCTTGTGGCGACCCCGTGAGACAGGGTAGAACTCCCTCTGTGGGCTCTGAGGCTATAGCTCTATACAGGAGCAGAAAACCTCATCTTTTTCCCTTCAACGAGTGCCTGGTTTCAAACTCTGACGTTGAGGTTAGCAGCCCAATGCATAAGCATTACACTACCAGGGTTTCCAGACCGTACATAGTTGGATGTATTTATAACTAAATCTTTATCAATTAATTTCATTTTATAAAAGTGCTTCCATTTCAAAACATACTTAAATTTCTCAGAAGGCATATGAATCTCAGACCATCTAACTACAGATCTACCTACTAAAACTGTTAAAAGTACGAGTGTGTAAAACAAACATTTCCAAGCACTAGCTTAGAAAGGGCTGCTTATTTAAAGCAGTCAGTCAATAAACAAATGGCTAGCTTATTTTAACCAGTTAAGACACGAGGCCCCTTGTTCAGCTGGGGGCCAGGTTATTAAGATGAAATTGCCTGTCATCCACCATGTTGACCTACAAAAAACGTCAGCAATTTCATATGGCTCCACCAGAACCTTCTAATCTCTGAAACGTAAAATATTAGATCCTCTGTTAAGTCCAGAAATATGGCCCTGCGCTTCCAGTTCATACATGCGTGGCTTCATCCCGAAAAAATGGGTTTAAACGTGCCCCTGTCATCAGTGGTTGGCTGCCGGCAGATTTCCCTAGCTCTCTGAGGGGGTGGCACCTGGGTTAGGGGGTGCCAAAGGGTTTTTGATGGTTTTTCCCAAAGGATGGTATGTTAGACAGGGTTCTCTAGAGAGATAAAACAAGATTGCTGATAAGTTTATATATTTATTTATAAAGATAGTTAGATATATAACACAAGAAATGAACTGTTAAATTATGTACAGATAGATAGATATATAATACAAGAAATGAACAGTTAAATTATAAAGCAGTTCAAATGGCTCAGTGCAACTCACTCCCGTGAGAGAGTTGTGAGACACTAGCAGTCCTTCAAGTCTTGAGGGCTGCCAGGTCTTCTGTAGAGAAAGCTAGGCTATATAAGCACAACAGCAAATAGCAAGGCAGGTCACCAACTGTCAGTCCCCAGCTCCAGAGATGTACATTCCAATCATGTGGTCTTAAAGGGACCTCAACTTACAGCGACACAGTGCACAGGCTAGGCATCCCACAGGTAGTGTAGCCTCTAAATTGAGGCACAGAACAAACAAGGCAGCCACACACTGGTCCGATGATCAAAGAGCAAGAGACAAGAAAGGCGAGGCTCACCAAGCCATTTATCTCTCCACCCTTCAATTAATCCCACTTGTGTTTATCGGCCAGGCTGGCACAATAAACTAACTATCTCAGATGGTCTCCACTCACTGCCTTCTTATAGCAACCCCATCAGACAGGGTAGAACTGCCCCTGTGAGTTTCCATGACTGTAACTCGTGACCGGAGTAGAAAGCTTCATCGTTCTCTCTCAGCACGGCTGGTGGTTTCGGGCCGCTGACCTTGCAGTTAGCAGCCCAATGCATAACCACTATGCCACCAGGGCTCCTTCAAAGGACGGTCATGGGGGCTTCTTGGGAAGGAGTTTCAACAAGGAGTGCATTGATGAGCTAGAAGCCAGGAAAGTTGAACCAAGGATTTTTTTTCTTCTTTTTTTTTTTTTTGCCATCATGACCATGCACCTGCCCATTCTTCGAGGTAACAAGGGTGATCCTGTGAGAATTTCCTCAAGAAGACTTGCCCCCTCCACTCTAAGGCTCTCAGCTGGCCTCTCAAAATCCCTTTTGTTCCCCAAGCTCAAAGAACATCTGAAAGGAAAACGATTGCGTCCCTGGTGTTGTGATGTACATTGAAGAGTGTAGGATCCTTGGCGGGAGGGTGGGGAAGGGGAGGGGACAGATGAAAGACTTCCCTTAGAAGCCCGCGGACCTGGATGGGCAGGGTATGTTGAGAAACAGGGGCTGTAGACTCCAAAGTTGTTGTTTAATAAAGGTTTTATATGACTCTATAGCCCTCCTTTTTAATCCCCCTGGCATTGCCACTCTTTGCAGCTGCTACACAGTCACGCTCAGCAGCTTAAACTGCACCCAGTTCCCCGTGCCCAGTTCTGTCCATCAGAAGGCTGGCTCTCCTCGCAGCACTCCCTGAGGCTGCTAGCAAGGTGTGCGCTGAGCTGAATTCCACAGCTGATTCATCTTCCCGTGGCAGGACTCAGCTCCTTGCCCTTGGGAGACTGAGGTCCTTCTGCTGTCCCTGCTGGCTGTCTGGAGACTTGATTTCAGCTCCTGAGGCTGGGGCCACGGTGGCCTGCCTAGAGATGACCTCCTTTCAAGGGACTGAGGAGTAGGGGAGGCCTAAAGTCGGCTGATGGGGTCGTGGGTTCAAGATGGGCTGCTAATCACACAAGGTTAGCAGTTTGAACCCACCAGCCGTTGGTTTATTTACTGCTTTAAACAAGCAGCTATTTCTAAGCTAGTGCTCGAAGATGTTTGCTTTAAACATGTTCATGGTTTTAATAGTTTCAGTAGCTGGATTTGTAGCTGTCTGAGGATTATGATAAACTGACCTGAGATTCGTATACCTTCTGGGAAATTCAAGTATGTTTGGAAATGACTTTAAAAGATGACATTAGTTGTCACAGATTTAATTGTTGTTGTTATCTCAAACTACGTGTTATTATCTAGGAGCCCCCATCACAGTGTAGCGATTACGCATTGGGCGGCTAACCTCAAGGTCAGCAATTCGTAACCACCAGGTACAACTCCGGAAAAAAGATGAGGCTTTCCCCTAAAGAGTTACCATCTCGGAAGCCCATGGGGAGCAGTTCTCCCCTGTCCTAGGGGATCCCTACGAGTAGCCGGAATTGACCCAGTGGCAGTGTGCTTGTTTTGTTGTTGTTGTTTTTGGTTTAAAGACTTCTATGAAAGTCCCTTTGCTCTAGAGTGACCACAATTCCCGGAGTGATAACAGATCACACTCACCGGTTCTACCTTCTCTCAAGGGGAGGAGGTCACCCAGGGGCAGAAGGTTGCTGGGGGTCACTTTAGAATTCTGCCTATCACCGCCTTCTGTACTTCAAAATGCAGCTAAAACACCCTCGCCACCAACTTTTGAAACCGGATGGTGTCTTGAGCGGATTCTGTTGCTTTAACATGCGCGCTCTCCTTCCCCATAGACGACATGGAGGTGGCCTACCAGAGGCTGAGTCAGCTCGTCAAAGAATACCTGGGCTTGACCGAGGAGCCCACCAAGGGCTTGGCGCCAACCACAGGTCAGTGCCAGGGGAGCTCCCTCCAGCTTCACGCTCTTTGTGCCAGGACGTAATTGATTTTTTAATTTTTTAACAGTTCTACTGACATGTAAATTCAGCTCCCCTTACAATTCAATAGTTTAGACGTATTAAAAGGAATCATCACCACACTCAGTTTGAGAACATTTTCTTTCTTATACGCACTGTTGACTCGCCTTCCCCCCTACACACACACA